ACATGGTGAAAGGCCAGAGCTGATTTCTCCAAGCTGTCTTCCTACCACCCCTTCAACACTCACAAAGTCAATTAAAACAACAGCAACAACCAAGATGCACACCCTGCTTGACCCCCCCCCACCAGCCAGAAATGTGAGATGAGAGCTCTCTGCCATTCTAATCTACTCAGGTGGTGGGTTGTTGCTATGACAACCAGGGAGTGGGACAGTGATGGAAATAAAGGATGGATCATGTACCTGGGACCGGTGAAAGGTGGTGGGTGAGAAGGCACTCGTGGACAGGAGTCATCATGGGGGTGACTAAGAGGGTAACGGCTAAGGCTAAACAGTTGTGGGCAAGCCCAGAGGACACCGTGTCTCATTAACATGTCACGTACACAGCTATAGGAGGAAGATAAGAGGGCATCTTCCAGGCAGGGCTTATCTGAGATCATCGAGTTATTTCTGTAGCTACACCCTATCCTGTCATAGCCAAGTCCAGTGGCCTTGAAGAGGTGTAGTGCCCTGGGTCCCTGGGCAAAGAACACAGAAGAACCCAAACACTAATGGACTTTGATTAGGATCCTGGAGATCAAGCTCCAAGGAGGAGGGGGTGTATAGAATTCAGCAGAGCAGAGAGAATCTGGAAGCTCCATCCTACAGAGGGGAAAATTGAGGCTAGAGATGGATGGGTCCTAGCATAGCAGGTCGACCAAGGTGGGGGTGAGAAGGAAGTGGAGAGAAGGAAAAGAGAGGTGGGGGGGGGGCAGAGGGATGGCAGGGCACTGGGAAACTCCTGCCCTACTGGGACCCGACAGGAGCTTAAATGCTACCCCCATAAGAACGGCCCTCACCTATGTTGCCCTCTGTCCTCCATGCCTCGTTCTCATTAGAGAAGACCTGGTAGGGGCCATGGCCTAGGGGGCAGTGAGTTCCAAGGCAAGAGAAAGTCTGAAACAGGCCTTTATGATGAAAGCATCTTGTCCCTCTTGGGGACTGTATGGTTTGTTTCTGCCTCAGTTTCCCTTCCTTCTCCGGGACCAGACAAAGGGGCAGACTGGCTGATCCACTCTGATTTCTTGCTTCCCTGAGCCTGGTTCCCAGGGCCAAGGAAACCTAAACAACTAAATTAAATGGATCCTTAGAAATCCCAACACCCCACACCCAGGGGACTGGAGAGATGGCTCGTTCTGTCAGGAACGAGTTCAGATTCCAGCATCCCACATCTGGGCAGATCACAAACACCTGTAACTCTAGCTCAAGGAATCCAACATTCCCTGTGGTCTCTTGGGGTACCCACGTACAGACGCACATACACATACGTGAAACGAGTTGAAAAATAAGAAGAAATCCCAGCCTAGGGCTTCACACATGCTAAACAGACGCTCTACCATAGCAGCCTGGCCCCCGGCTGGGTCTTCTGTGCGAGCACTCTACTGCTGAGTCAACTAGTCCCTTGCTAGAGAATTCTAGGCAAGTGCAGTTCCCCCCTTTTTTGTTTTATTTTATTTATGCTTTTTTTCTGAGATAGTAGCCCTGGCTGGCATGGAACTCACTCTGTAGACCAGGCTGGCCTCGAACTCACAGAGATCTGCCTGTGTCTGCCTCCTGAGTGCTGGGATTAAAGGTGTTTGCTACCATAATGTCCAGTTTCCCAGTACTTTTTGTTTATTTGATTGATTGGTTTGTTTTAGGCAGGGTCTCTCTAAGTAACCTTGGCTGGCCTGGAACTCACTATTGTAGACTAAGATGGCCTTAAACTCATAGAGAATCATCTGTCTCCCAAGTCCTAATGCTTCATGCCACCCTATGGGGCGCCCAGTCCCATTTTTACTATTTGTTCTGGGATAGGCTCTCACTAAGTTGCTGAGACTGGCCTTGAACTCACTCTGTGGCAGATCTTAAACTTTCAGTCTTTCCAAGGTGATGGGGATGGCAGGCTTTCCCCACCCGAATGAACACTTGTCTTTCCAGAGGAGCAAACAGACCAGAAAGGAGTTGAGCAGATGCCCGACACCATTAGTACATGAAAAAGTTAGACTCTGTGGTTCCTGACATCCCATCTTGCTGTGGTCCTGCAGCTTCCTTGGCTAGCGGGAGAGGAAGGGACACACGCACACACACACACACACACACACACACACACACACACACACACACACACACACGTGCGCTCACCCACACACATGCGTGCACACCAGGACAGAGATTAGAGAAGGCAGAACAAGACAGTGGGTATTGTATGTTATGTGAAGGTGACCCTGCCAAGCCTGCCATCCCAGCCTTGGAAGGCTGAGGCAGGAGGATCTGTATGATTACATGGTTAAGTTTTAGGTCAGCCTGGCCTATAGCGTGGCAAGACTGTCTTTCCACCCTCTCCTCACATACAAAGACCTTGCGGGTGTTTGCCTCAGAGATGGGAGATAAATGCACCCGGATAGGCACACTAAGATAAACACAGGCTCTATTTAACATGGCTGGGTGTCTACCCGCATGGAAGGGAGGATTCTGTTTGATCCCAGCAGCCACTCAACTGACACCTGTTACTGTTGCTCCCTGGAGTGGTGGCCACCCAGAGAGGCAAACTGGTCTTTCCCCAAAGCTCTGTAGCGGACAGGAAAGAAATTCAGGGAGTCCAAAGCCGAGCATCAAGTGGAAGATGTCTCAGTTGTCTTTGATGAAGGAGTTAGCTCTGCCCTGGAGCCTGGCAGCTCAGGGATGTGGGCTTGTGGGAAAGGGGGCCCAGGACAGTAGGGCTGGGGAGCTACTCACCCTCCTCAGAAGCAGTGAACTGAGGCAGGAACTGGAGGATGAGAGCCAGCAGGCAGAGTGCCACAGTCTGCCTTGTCCTCGTCGACATCACTGAAGCGGATCGGCTTCCCTGCAGTGAAATGAATGCGAGCCAGGGAACCCCAGAAATAAAAACAGCCAAGAGACCTTTGACCCCTGAGATACCGAGGGCACGGGGGAGGTCAGTGTGAATAGAAGTCGATCTGACAGCTTCCCGTATGACGAGGGGTGGCGGCTGGCTATTCTGGCTGGGCCAAAGAGCAAAGGGAGCGGTTCCCTTTCCTGGCCAGACAAGCACATAGGTGTTCGGGTAGGTAATGAGATTCATCACCCCAGTGAGGGGTGGTGTAGGGAGTAGTGCCTCTGGCCTCCCCACAGAGACACACGATAGAGCCCCGATCTGAGCAAGAAAGGGGAATATCCTGGATTTGTCCACCATCCCTCAGGCCGTCCCTCTTTCTGTTCTACAGGTACCCCGGCAGGACATGGGGTTCAAGTTATGACACCCTGAGATGATCAGAAGTTCATGTGTGTGAGTGTGTGTGTTGTATGTGTGTGTATGCATAAATATACATATATAATATATATGTGTATGTATGTAACATCTTGACTGCGATTTTCCCTCCCTCCTCTCCTCCTATGCCTCCTCCATTCCCACCCCCCAATTCATTTCCTATCCATTTCTGTTTAGGAAAGGACAGGTCTCATGAGTAGCAACACAACATGGCAAATAAAGTCACGGCCAGACTAAGCACCTCCCCATGTGTTAAGGCTAGACAAGGGGACCCAGTACGAGGAGTAGGGTCCCAGAAGCCTGTAAAAGAGTCGAGACAGGCCCCGCTCTCACTGTTAGGAGTCCCACAAGAGGACCAAGCTACACAACTGTCACATACATGTAGAGGGCCTAGGTCAGTCCCATGCAGGCTCCCTGGTTGTCAGTTCAGTCTCTGTGATCTCCTAGGAACCCAGGTTAGTTGATTCTGTGAGTTTTCTTGTGGTGTCCTTGACCCCTCTGACTCCCACAATCCTTTCTCCCCTTCTTCTGCAGGATCCCCAAACTTGGCCTAATGTTTGGCTGTGGGTCTGCTTCTGTTTCCATCAGCTGGTGGACAGTTGGACTAGGTATCAATCTGGTCAGACAATGGCCAGCTCAGGCTACCTATCCACTCTTGCTAGGAGTCTTAACTGGGGCCAGCCTTGTAGATTCCTGGGAGATTAAATTCCTTGTGCCGGGTTTTTACCTGGTCCTGAAATGCCCCCACTTCCAGCAGTCTCTTTCAGTACTCCCCCCTCTGTCGATCAGGAATTCTTAAGCGTGTGAATTAAGAGGTAAGCAAGGCCTCCTTGCCATCCTCATGGCCACCTGGAGTGACCTTGTCCACCCTCTGGGTGGTGGGACCAAGCACTCAGTCCTCAGCCTTCTGGAGGTTCCCACCTCTTTGCTCTTGGGTCTGAGGCATTCTGTGCCCAAGGCCTGGCCCTGGGTTTGTCCTCAGTGACCTCTGGCAGAGATGGGCCTAGTCCTGCCCCATTTGGAAGAGGCAAGTGGTTCAGACACTGGGAATGTTTAATCCTGGGAAGATTGTTCCACCCAGAGAGGGGCACAAGACATGTCCCTTCATTACTTCCAGATGCAATCCACTGCCCAAGGTTTCCCCCACACACACACACACACACATCAGGAAGCAAAGAAAACATAAGACTCTGCATTGAAGAACTGCTTTATTGATAGGGAAATTCCAGAGAGCAGGGCGGAGCCCACACACAGACAAAGATGCCAAAGTATTTAGAAGCCTTGGGTTCCTGAAACGTGGAGGCGAGGAGGGGTTGGTACCCAGCTCTCAGGCCTCAACTCTTTGCTCCTTTGGTTAGTCTTCTGGCGGTGACCCACGGACCAACTCCGGCCACCTCAGATTAGACACGTGGAGCTTCGGGATCTGGTGTCGGTTTCGTCTTAACCAACCAGGAATATCTGTGGTGGGGACTCTGGCCCTCTTTTGTCTGAATTCGGATGGGGCATGATGGGGTGGCCTAGATGATCCCGTTCTCACGGAGCAGCTAATTTCACCACCTCGGGCCTCTGAAAGTTGAGCTGGGGATGAGAGAGACAGGTGAAGCGGAGCAGAGGTTCCTGTGGGTGGAGCCACAGGTGGGGGGGGCAGGGAAAACCCAGGAGTAAGAGAGTGAGAAGCCCCAAAAGGGGGAAGCTCTTAGCTGTGTCACCTCAGTGTCGGGGTCCACATACTGCAGGTTCGGCTGGAAGTGGCTGTGCCTTTCCTCCAGGCCTAATTGGTCCTCTTTCAGATTCTGGCCTGTAGGGAAAGGTGTGGTGTAAGACGGGGCCACCCCCCAGAGGAGGCGGGGGCAGCCATGGGCAGGTGGAATGAGTGTGGGTGGGGTTGGGGGGTTTCAAACAAATGAAGATAACAACTTCAACTTTTCCAGTCCTTGTTGGAGTCTTAGTGAACTTGGCTTGAGCCTGGAAGCTGGTCTGGAGCCCTACAGGGAGGCCAGGCAGAGAGAACGGCCTCCCTACTCACCTAGTACTGTGTACCATGGGTCACAAGTCATACCCATAAGAAGTCACTGTCATCGGTGCGAGGTTGGGAGTGGAGCTGGTAGCAGCTTCTTGAGTCACACACTACACCCCTCACCTGCCCAGTCCTTAGCAACTATGAAAACATAGCAGACAACCCAGGTTTTCAGGAAACCATCCCCATGGCTGTTGTACACCAGCAACATCCACTTCTTCTTCCTGAGTCCTGCAGGCCTGCCTGACTTCCGGGAGTCCAGCCCAGGGCCTGGCTTTTCTCCATGGCATCTTAGCCGTTCCTCAGTGGGCATCTTAGACTGCCTCCTGTAACGGCTACACGTCTAGATGATCCTAGGAGCCCTGTCCCCTTTCCCTCTTTAATCGCCAGCCCTCCCTTTACCCACTCAGACTCCCGGCGCTGTCTTCAGGTAGGAGAGCCCTCCCCTTTGGCACTCCACCGAGTCCAGGGAGTCAGTGTGTCCCACAGGCTTCTCTCGTGGATGCCCGACTCAGCGGCCACCATATTCCCTTTGCCAGCCTGCCAGCAAGCCCAGCTCTGCTCCAAACTGCCTCATCTGGTTACCCCTCTACTTCTCATCCTGCCACCTTGTCCCCATCTCCCGTGCTGTCCCCCTCAGACCCACCTGAGTGACCCACTTAAAACTAATCTATGGATTGGCGATATATACACCTGTCCACTCAGCGGCTTGGGAGGCTTGGGTAGAAGGCTGGTGGGTTCAAAGCTAGCCTGGGCTACATAGCAAGACCCTGTTCTAGATAAACAAACAAATACACAACATCATATACCCAGCTCTTTTCTTTTCTTTTCTCTCTCTCTCTCTCTCTCTCTCTCTCTCTCTCTCTCTCTCTCTCTTTTGGCAAGGGAGAAGACATATAAGCCACCTAGCCTCAAACTTGTTATAGAACAGAAGATGAAACAGAAGATGACCCTAAACTTGACTTTCTTACGTCCACTTCCTTAATGCTAGGATTACAGGAGTGTAGCCCCCTGAGTTTTTCTTTTTAAAGATTTATTTATTTAATATACATTGGGGTTTTGCCTGCATATGTGTCTTTGTGAGGGTGTCAGATCGCCTAGAACTGGAGTTACAGACAGCTGCAAGCTGCCATGTGGGTGCTGGGAATCGAACCCGGGTCCTTTGGAAGAGCAGCCCGTGCTCTTCACCACTGAGCCATCTCTCCCATGCGTTTTCTTAAGTAGTGCTTCTAACCTAAGAAGGGTCTGACTCTGTCGGCTCGGGGATTGTTTGTAGGACCAGGAAGCCAACCTCTGAGTCACTTGCTTGAAGACTCAGGCTTAAGTTAGAAGCCTTCAATGGACCTGAAGTCCATGCTGGCCATCCCTGGCCAGGTGCTCTGGTCATAGTCTGTGCACTGCTATGTCTTGGCACTCTAGAGAGAGGCTGCGCGTCTGACACCCTTGTCTTGTGAGGCAGGAGACGACTCTGAGCCTACCCTGAATCACTGGGGAAATGGTAGCCTACAAGGGGTCATAAAACCCCTAGGAAGTGGACACTGTGGGTGTGGAGGTGCACACCTGTAATCCCAGCACCTGGGAGGCTAAATTAGGAGGATCTTTAGGTTCAAGGCCAACCTATACTACACTTCAGTTTGTTTGAGATCACCCTGGGCTACACAGGGACAGCAAAGAACTGTATAGGGAAGATGACTCAGGTGGTAAAACGTTCGCCTCATAAATACTTAGGGCCTGAGTTTGGTCCTCAGAATCTATATGAAGAGTTCAGCGCAGTAAATACACACTTATGACCCCAGCACTGCGGAAACAGACTGGTGGATCCCCGTAACTCTCCCGACCGCCACCTTGACCCAATCCATGAACCCCAGGGTCCTGAAAAAGACCTTGTCGTCCAAAACTGCTTGTGCAGTGTCTGAGGATCGACACCTGAGACTGACCTCTGCACTCATGTGTGTAGGAGCATGTGCATGTGCGCATGCGCGCACACACACAAACCGGGAAGGGGGGCGTCTAAGCCTGCTTAGAGGAACTGGGCAGAGGCGGCCGTGCTGATGGGAGAAGTCACCTGGCATGGCATGGACAGAGACTCGGGCAGACAGAGCACCAGGAAGAGGAGATTAGGACAAAGTGGGGGTGGAGGGTGGTCCCTGGAGAGGGAGGGGTCATAAATAGGTTATAGAAACAGTAGGCTTGAGGCTGGTATAGGTGGTGGGGAATGGAGCCTTCCAGGTAGTGGTGTGATGTGTACAGAAACATAGAGGGGAGAGAATGCTCAGCAGAGGTCCTGGGAATTTGATGCGGTGGGGGGGGGAAGCCAAAAAAGGTCCAAAGGTCAGGCTAGTGAGATGTGTAAGGTGACCAGAGTCCCATTGAGGGAAGGAAAGAACCGACTCCTAAAAGTTGTCCTCTGACCTCTGTCCACATACCATTGTACATATGTGCCCACTAAATAAATGTAGTTTAAAAAACAACAACAAAAACAGGAAGTCAGTGAGAAGCCTGGATGCCAGGGAAGAAGGGGACAAGGGACCGCAGAAGAGCAGGGGGTGGGTGCACCGGTGCAGGGGCAGATATGACGTGAGCTGTCATCAGGTCACAGCAAGGCAGGACTTGTGTCGCGCCCTCCTCCGCCCCCCGGCTCCCCCTCCCCCCAGAACCATTACCATCCCAGATGCCGGAGCTCCGGAAGATTCCAGGGAAAGCTTCTCTCTGCCATGCTTGAGACAGGTCGTATTTTGACCTGCAAACAGTTGCGTCACAAGTGAGCTGGCCGCGTGTGACCGGAGTAGGAGGGGACTCGACAGACCCTGACCCTGAAGGTGGGCAATCACATCTCTACCTGTCAAAGTGACGGCCATGGGGAGGGACAACTGGCTCACTCTGGTTTCGCCGGCTCCGCGGGCAGTGACCAGGCTCCCTAAACATCCTGTAGTTCCCTGATGGGCCCCAGTCTCCGGGTATGAAATGGGGGGGAGGGTTGCAACAGTCCCTTCCGCCCATTTCGAGCAACTATTTCTTGGAATGTGCATCTCCCCCTATCTGGTTCACACCCAGCTTCCTCGATACTCTCTAAGGTAGTCTAGATAATAAAACATAATTTTATTGCATAAATATTTTCAGTGCTTAAGTTTCTGTTTCCACTTCTCACTCAAAGAGATGATCAGATAGAAAGGCCACCCTTGGTGATGCCAGCAATGGGTGGGGCTAGATGCCCTGCTTGGCCTCAGCCTACGTCTTCACAGCCAGAACTGTAGAACATTAAGACAGTGACTTCTGGATGGAGTGTCCTCACTCCCGGATTGGCACCTTCTCTCTGGATGTGTGTGAGCTCACCTGTGCAGCTTTTTCTGGGACCAGCCAAGGAACCCAGCCAAGATGACCACAAGGACCAGCAACACTGCCAGCACGGTGCCCACAAGTCCATACACGAGTCTCTTGCTGGTTCTAGACTCGCAAGTGTCTCCCCAGTACCAGTGGGTGTCTGTGTTCGGGCACCTGCAGATACACACACAAGCTCAGGCTAGGTCCCTTAAATCAGGTCTCCTGAAGGGAAATTAAATACTCAAAGCCCAGGAAACTGCCCTAGAGGAAAGTGGGGGTGGGGGAGCCAGGGTACCGACTCTAAAGTGTGGGAGGGGGAAACTCAGGATGACCTCAGAGGGACCTCAGGGTACTGAATGTCTTGTCCTAGCGAGGCAGGTGCTTGCACATCTAATCTCAAAGCGTTTGGCCATCTGAATGGGCTTCTTGTCGTGTTTATCACTTTGTACTTTCATTTATGATCTGGAACCTAGCATGTCAAGGTCTCAGTTAGATGTGCTTATGGCTAAAATGTCCTAAGAGAAATTAATGATGAAGCTAGGCATGACAGGTCAGGCCTGGAATCCCAGTACTCAGGGAGGTTGTGGAAGGAAGATTGGGTCAAGATGGAGGCTGGCCTGGGCTACACAGTGAATTCCAGTCCAACCTGGGCTACCGAGACCCAATCTGAAAAAAAAATGAAGAAAAGGGGAGAGGGAAGAAAGAAGGAAGGAAATAAAGAAGGGAAGGGGAGGAAAGGGAGGAAGAAGGAAGGAGTGAGAAGATGGGAATAGAGGAAATGACTGGTGACGGGGAGGTGAGGCCAATGGCTTGAACCTTCTTAGAAAAACCCAGGCTGGACTGGAGAATGCCCGAATCTAGAACACGTGGCCACCCATCACTCTCAGGGCGGCAGAGGGTGGAGGGAGAACCCCATAGAGTTAAGAGAAATGTAGAAGACGTTGGGGGGGGGAAAGCCCTTCCAAGCATCCCCAGTTGCCTTGTTACTTGCCCATGCCAACCGCCCACCTAGCTACTCAGGCACAAGAGAAACTGGGGGTGGGTGAGACCCACAGGGCACGGTGCAGCAGGTTGGTGATTCCAACCCTCTGGGGACACCTTCCCATCAGGAGAAGGAGTGAGTGATGGGCCGAAGGAGGTAGGCACTCACACACAGCGGGGCCCTGAGCGGAGCAGCTGGCACTGGCCCAAGTTACAGTTGAGTTGTGACTTTGTCCCCTGAGTGCACTTATTCACGCAGGTCAGTCTTCCCTCAAGAACCTCTGGGTAGAAGTACCGGCCAAAGTCTTCGGCAGCCTCCCGCATGCAATGCTCTATAGGACGAGGAATGGCAGCTCCAGTCGGCACCGGCACCGCTAGAACTCTCCCTGGACCCATTTACCATCCACACTCCATCGGCTCCTGCCCACAGCCCCAAGGGGCTCATGGTTTCGGGCTCCACACTCACCGACAGGGTTGAAGCTGAACTTTAGAGTCTCCGTGTGCACAGTGGTGAAGTTAGAATTGTAGCAGAGTTTGGATTCTGTCCGCAGTAAAGGGGAGAGAAAAAAAAAAGAAAGCCATAAAGGCTTCCTTCTGTCTCTTGTCAACAATCAGGCCTCCCCTTCTCCCACCCAGGCTCTTCCCCTTTCTCCTACTCAGGCTCCTCCCCCTCTCCCACCAAGACCCCTCCCCTTCTGCCACTAGGCTCCTCCCCTTTCCCCCCACCCAGGTTCCTCCCCTCTCTCACATTGGGGCCCCCCCCCACCTGGTTCTTCCCTTTCTCCCACCAGGGATCCTCCATTTTCTCCCTCCTCTTCCTTCCTTTCCTCTTCCTCTTCTCTCTTCCACCTTTTCCTTTCTTCCCTCTTCCTCCCCTCTCTCCTCCACTTGACTCTTGCTTTCCATCCCTGCTCTTTCCCCCTCTTCTCCCTCCTCCTCGTCCTTATTTTTGTCCTCTCTTCCCCAACTGCTTTCCTCCTGCTTCCTCCCCATCTTCTTTTCTGCCTCCCGCTTCCTTCATCTGCTTCCTCCTCTTCTCTCCTCCCCTCCTCCCTCCTCCCCTTCCCCTTCTGTCTTCTTCTGTATCAACCGTCCACACTGAACCAATGTTGGAGCTCCAGGTACACAGTCAAACCTGTGAGCAGGCTCCCAAGGACATGGGGGTGACAACTTCAGCCTGGGACTGAACAGAGTGACAGGGAGCAGGATGGAGTCAAGGGAGGCACTGGAGGGTAGTTTCGCTTTGTTCTGGATTTTCTAAAGATTTATTTATTTATTATTTTTGTTTGTTGTTTTCTGAGAGAGGATTTCTCTGTGTAACAGTCTTTGCAGTCCTGGAACTCTGTTTATAGACCAGAACTCACAGAGATGCAACTGCCTTTGCCTTTTGAGTGTTGGGATTAAAGGCATGTGCCACCACTGCCTGGCAAAAGGTTGTATGTGCCAATTACCTTGTGTTTTTATTTTGTTTTGTTGGAGATTTTGTTTGTTTTGTTTCTAGAGCTAAGGAATGAACCCAGGGCCTTGAACTTTCTAGGCAAGCACTCTTAATCTCCAACCCCTTAAGATTTATTTTATTTTTATTTACCACCCCCATGTATATGTGTGTGTGTGTGTGTGTGTTCACATGTGTGTGAAGATGGCTGTGGAGTCCAGAAGAGAGTATTGGATCTTCTGGAGCTGGAATTGCAGGCAGCTGTGAGCTGTGGATGCTGGAAGCTGAACTCAGGTCCTCTGTAAGAGCAGCAAGTGCTCTCAGCTCCTAAGACATCTCTCCAGAACTCCCTGCCTTTTGTTGAAAGGGGGCTATAAGCCTGGAGTTCACTGTGGAGCCAGACTATCTCTGAACTCATGACAATCCTCCTGCCTTAGCTTCCTTAGCGCAGAGACTGTGGGTGTGAGCTACCACACACGACACATAGATCCCACCTATCCTGTGGTGGGGACTCTGCTGTTCCAAATGAGAAGAGCCAGAGAGAATGAGGAGAAGTAGAGACCAGGTGTTGTGGAATATTAGTTTAAGATGCGTTACGATCATTTATGCTCTGGAATATTTGTTTACTGATGCAAAGATGTGCTATATTCTTTTATGTTGCATTTGTTTAACTCTGTGAAGCTGTGTTACTTTGCCTGTCTAGAACACCTGATTGGTCTAATAAAGTGCTGAATGGCCAATAGCAAGGCAGGAGAAAGGATAGGCAGGGCTGGCAGGCAGAGAGAATAAATAGGAGGAGAAATCTAAGCTTGACAGAAGGGAGGAGAGAGAAAAGGAGAAGGAGAGGAGGACACCAGGGCCCAGCCACTTAGCCACTTAGCCATGGAGCAAGAAGGAAAGATATATATATGAAAGGTATATAGAAAGAAAGAAAGATATATAGCAAAAGGTATATAGAAATAAAGAAATAAAGAAAGATAGACAGAATAAAGAAAGTTCAAAGGCAAAAAAAATGTAGTTAAAGAGAAATGGGATAATTTAAGTTAGACAAGCTGGCTAGAAACAAGTCAAGACTGGGCATCCATGTATTTATTTGGGAGCTGGGTGGTGGGCCCCCAAAGAGTAAAAAAACTAAAAACCAACCAACTGCACCCAGGCTTCCTTCCCAGCAAGGCCAAGGCGTCTCAGAAGGACTTACTTTGACACAGGGACCTATCAGTTTCATCTTCTCTAGTCGCATTTATGATCTTGGCTCTCACGATCCTGGTGAGGTTGCTGAACAGTGTCTGGTACTCTGGGGTGTAGTTTGACTCCAGAACCACCTCACCTTTCACCACGATGCTGCCGTTGCTGCGAGCAGAAGAGACACCAACATTTCCTCCACATCACCCACACCCAGAAAGGAGGACGAAAGCAGCAAGATAGGAGATGGGGAGGCAAGGTAACTGTGCGACCCAGGAGTTGGAAGGAAAAGGGTTCCTGCAGGGTGTGGTGATGCACCCCTGGCGTCCCAGTGTTTGCAAGGCTGAGGCAGGAGAATCACACGTTCAAAGCTAACCTGGGCTACATAGTGAGCGAGACTCTTGTTTCAAAAATCCAAAAGAAATAAAAGGGTGGGGGGAGGAGGGGAGGAAGAATGGAAGGAAGAAAAGAAGGGAGGAATGAAAGAGGAAAAGGAAAAGAAAACGAAGGAAAGAAAGACATGAGGGCCCCCACTCTTCGACAGTTAACAAATTCCAAGAAGCCATTGGAATAAGACAGTTCAAGATTGGTAAATCTCAGTGTTTGTTACAATAGCTAAAGGATAAAATTTATCTTTAAAAACAGAGGCTTGGGCTGGGGGGTGGTGGCGCACACCTTTAATCCCAGCACTCGGGAGGCAGAGACAGGCGTATCTCTGTGAGTTTAAGGCCAGCCTGGTTTACAAGAGCTAGTTCCAGGACAGCTAAGGCTGTTCCACAGAAAAACCCCGTCTCAAAAAGAAAAAAATTAGAGGCTTGGGTTTCCATGATGGCTCTATGGGTAAAGACACTTACAGCCGAACCTCATGGACCGAGTTCGGTAGAAGGAGAGCTACAACTCCTCCGGTTACCCTGTGACCTCCATCCCTCCACGTGTATATAGTGGTACAAGCACATATTTACTGCACACACAACATACACAATAACATCATAAAACATAGAGAACCTTGGGTGAAGATGTGTCCCTGGGAGTGGAAAATGGAGGACCGCAAAATGGCAGAACTTCAAGAACATAAAAGCAATCGAACATGGTGGCTTGTAGAAGCAGGGGAAGGAGGAGGGGGAGAGGCAATGGCAGCGGAGAGGGAGAGAGGAGAGAGAAGGGACGAAAGGATGAGTTTCTGTTAAAAAGTGGGACCCCAGCCTTGAAGCCCCTCACTAAGTGGCCAGTGATGCTGCTGAGGGGGACAGTTTCGAGACAGAGGACATCATCTGTCACGGTCATTGCCAGGAGAAGCCAGCAGCCTTCTTACTCCTCTTCATATCCCTCATCCAGCACAGGCACTGCAGGCCTCAGCAGCTCTGGAGTTTTGTTTCCTACACCCTGTCTCCTTTCTCTTCCCAAATCCCCACAGTCTGACGGGGCGCTCTTATCTCTCAAGACCATCCCCACAGGACCCCCTTCTCCCACCAGTTCCCTCTCTGCTCATTGACACCATGACCTCCAGTGTAGACCTCAGCCCACCTTTCTCTACCCTGCAGCTAGTCAGCTTGCAGGCCAGCTGCTGATAGGAATAGTCTCCTGGATTGGCGTGAGTCATTTCTCCAACCTCTGCTGCCGCTACTGAGTGCGCTTCCAAGTGTGTAGGATTTGCCCTCCACCCCATGCTCTCTCTGGGCTCCCCTCCAGCGCTTACCCTACCTTAACTCTTCCCCTAGCCCTTCCCTACTTTATCACGACCGCCCCCCCCCCTTAAACTTTAGCTGTCATGTTCTCTCCCGCTGGCCACACTTGCCTCTCGGCTCTTTCTCCTGACACACTACAGTTCCTGATCACACTCTCAGCAGTGTGCACACTACAGTCTTGGGACCCCCTGTGCCCTGCTATTCTGTACTCCAGGAATAGTGAGCTAAGCATCTAACGCTGTTTGTTTTGATTTTCTTGTTTGGTTGAAGCAGGGTTTCTTTACATAGCCCAGGTTAGCCTGGAACTCCCTGTGTAGTCCAGGCTAGACTTCAACTTCTGCCCTTTCTGTCTTAAGCTCCCAAGCACAAGTGTTACAAGTGTGTGGCACTCAGCTAGGGGTTGGCTTTTTAATAGAAGTTGGTGATTATAAAATCGCGATTATAAGCCGGGCGGTGGTGGCGCACGCCTTTAATCCCAGCACTCGGGAGGCAGAGGCAGGCGAATCCCTGTGAGTTCGAGGCCAGCCTAGTCTACAAGAGCTAGTTCTAGGACAGGCACCAAAAACTACAGAGAAACCCTGTCTCGAAAAATCAAAAAAAAATCGCGATTATAAAAATGAATGGATTAGACGAATAAACGAACTCGTGGCGAATGAATGAGCACGAACGATGGAAAATGGATCGGCACAAACAGCGAATAAGCATGAAAATAAACAAAAGAACAGATCGTGGATGAGCATACGTGGAATGAGTAAGTGAGCAGCGAGGACAGAGCTCACGTGAGCAATGAGCTGAGTAGCCACGGTGAACCAACAAATGAATGAATGAATGAGTAACCGTGAAGATAAAGAAAAGAATCAATGATGCACTTATGAGTGCATGGCAAGTTTTTGAATGGATTAATGAACAAATGAACAAGTTATGAATGGATAACCACGACGAACAAATGACAGAGTGAGTCAGGACTCTGGGGTGTTCCTTCAGGGCTGGAATTCCCCAGTCCCAGACAAACGTCATAGCCTAACCTCAGGGTAGGAGGAAGGAGCAGGGAGAGAAAGAGGGGACACCCCTCCCCCACTCACAGCAGTTCTTTGATGATCACTTCTTTGTACTCGGGAAGGTCATGGCCCTCATAAATTTTATCCATCTGGAAAAAAATATCGGAGATCATACAGAGTTGGAGTATGTCCTGTCCCCAGACAGCTCCAGACTGGTGTGGGTGGAACCCATGGGAAAGGGAAAGCAAAGGCACAGAGGCTGCCTCGATGGGACCTGAGTGGGGTGGGGCTCGGTGAGGACCCCACCTAAGGACTCCTGGAGACAAAGGGCTTACAAGATGAGAAAATGTGATGGGTGACCATAGCCCTCCCTTGACCGAGTGTCACTGCTCCTACCTGGCTCAGGAAGAGGTTGATGAAGTCTTTGTAGGCCTGGGAGGATGTGTTCTTCAGGTCATCTGAGAAGTTCCGGTTAGTCACCTTTACTGTCATGCTCACGGTAGCATTGACAACATTCGGGATATCTGTGGGACCAGGCAACATGGTGCATGAGAGAGCGACCCTCAGGGCCTGTGGGAATGTCTCTGAGGTAGGGTCTCACTGGATGTGGAGTTTACCAGTCTGTCTAGATTGATGGTTAGTGAGCCCCAGGGATGTGCGCGTCTCCTCAGGGCTGAGACTGCAGGTGCTCAGCACTATGCTAAGTTTGACATGGGCTCTGCGAACCCAAACTCAGCTTTCCAAACTTGCACTGTGAATACCTGACTGGTGGAACTATCTCCCCAGATCCCAGACCCTGACTCTTGAAATCACAGAGAGCTGACTGCCGAAAGGAGACCCAGGGAGTTAGGTGGGAGGTTTCACAAAGTGTCGGGGTGGAAACTTACTGATCAGAGTAGGAGGAGAGCCAGAGAGGATGACCCTCAAATTAGAGGCAGGAGGACCAGGACGAGAATTACTTTACCTCCTCTCCCTGCAGTGAAGCCATGGGAATGGTTGATCATTCCAACATGACCCCCCACTTTAAGTGTCAAGGCATACAGGGAGGGCTGCCAGTCTCAGAGGGGTCATTACCTATTGGGAAGGAATACAGGATGCTGTCGCAGAGCTGGCCAGTGTAGCCCGACTTGCATTCACATTGGCTTCCGTTCCACCTTCCGTTGTTGCAGTCCTCTGGGAAATGACAGAGTTTCAAAAGATCATGGAGTAAACTCCAGGGACAAAAACACTTGCTCCCATCCAGGTGTCCTCAAAGCCCTGACCTTGACAAGGGGGCTAAAGCTAGGCCACGGTACAACATTTAAGAACCCCCTCATTCCCATCTTACTCCTAGAAGCTAGGGGAGAAAGGAGACAGAAATGGGTTTAAGGATACAAGAAACACAAGAGAAGGAAGGAAGAGGAAAGGAACCCATGAACAAAAAGAACCAACAGCACACTGGGCATGCATGACCCACACTTGTAATTACAGCGCTTGAGAGGAAGAGGCAGATGGATCCCAAGATTGAACCTAGCCTGAGAAGTATAGTGAGATGCCATTCCAGTACTCCCAACCCCATGCCAAAGACCACACATATCAATGTGAGAAATAATCATTGGTAGCTGTAAATGTCAGGAAACATGCAACATGGTCCCACATAGGAAAAGATGGCTAAGAGCCAAGGCCTAAGGGAGAAATGCAGAGCCAATTGCATGAAACTTACGTGATGGCAAAGAGAAGGCTTGAGTCCTCATGGAAGTAGGGTATATGCTGGGAAAAGGGGGGCGAGCAGTGGAGCTGCTGAACACAGGGATACTGCTGGAAGGGGAGTGGAGTGAGGTGGAAGATGGAGGAGAAGGGCTAGGAGGGCTTGTCTGGGTTGAAGAATCAAACACTGGCAAGGAGGAGGAGAGAGGAAATGAAGGTGTCAAAGAAGTAGCATCGTGAACCGTGGTTTCAGGGCTCTCCGGCGACATTGGGGAATGGACTGAACTTGTGCTGCTGGAGAAAATGGGTAAAGAAGATGAGACTGCGGCTGGAGAGGAGTCTGGTGATGCTGGTGGTAGTGGTGACCTTGAACTCTGTGGAGGAGATGAGAGTCCTGGTGTCAAAGCGGTTGAGGATGGATCTGAGGCTGGCGTCCTGGGGTATGCTGACTCATCAGGAATGGTCCTGGGGGATGCTGACTCATCAGGAATGGGCCTGGGGGATGCTGACTCATCAGGAATGGTCCTGGGGGATGCTGACTCATCAGGAATGGTGGTCGATGGAGAGTTTGTAGAGGGAGGGCTCCTGTACAAAGAAACCCCACTGCTCAGGAATGTGGTGGGTGCCTGAGTGAAGGCTGTTCTGGAGGCCTCGGTTGCTTGAGTTAACTGAGTGGAAAATAGACTGTTTAGGGAGGTTGTAGATACATGTGTTTCAACTGTGGAGTGGGAGGTTTCAGAAGGTACAGTTAGTTCTGTTGAAATGGAACTGCTTGGCAAGGTTGTAGACTTCTGAGTTAAGACCGTTGTTTGGGAGATCTCAGTGGTCTGAGTTCCTTCTGTTGAAATAGGGAGGCTCAAAGAGGCTGTAGATGCTTCAGTCAGGGATGAAGTGAAAGGTGTAACAGGAGAGATGGCAGCTTCTGAGAAAACTGAGCTGCTTGGAAAGGTTGTGGATTCCTGAGTGAAGACTGTTGTTTGCAAGGTACCAGGGGGTAGAGATGAATCTGTGGAAAAGGGGCTTCTGGTGGAGATTGTAGAAGGCTCAGTCACGTCTGAGAAGTGGGTAATCGCAGGAGGTACAGTTGTTTCTGTGGAAACTGAGCTGCTCAAGTCCGTATATTCCTCAGTGAAGAATGATGTTAGGGCGGTCGCAGTTGCTGGAGTTCCAGGTTTCACACTTGGGTTCCTTGGGGAGGCTGTAGATGCCTCAGTCAGAGCTGTGAGGGGTGAGGTGTCAGGAGGGACAACATTTTCGGAGGAAACTGGGGTAGATGCAGAGGACAAAGATTCCTGAGTGAAGTCCATAGAGGATGTCTCAGGACCTTGAATATCTTGTGTGGAAATTAGGCTGCCTGGTGAAATGGTTGATGTTTCAGAATGAGATATGGTATGGGAGACCCCAGGAGGGGAAGAAGATCGTGAAGAAATCGAGGTGATTGGGAAAAATGTAGATTGTCGAGTGAAGACGGTTTGGGAAGTAGGATTAATTTGAGTGCTCGGGGTAGAAAATGAGCTATTTGTAGATGAGCTAGAAGACAAAGTCAAGACAGGAGAAAATGAAGTGTTAAGAGGTACAATGGTTTCTGTTAACAATGGGTTACTTAGGAAAGTTGTTGGTTCCCTAGTGGACACTGTTTTCCACGTTTGAGCTGAGTGGGTGG